ATTCGATTCCATCGATTTCAAGCACTTAGCTAGCTTTCAGAATTTACAGAGAGTCACTACATTTTTCAGCCTGATTGTCTAGTGTTCAAAAATTCAAAAGGCTGATATCAGAGTCTTATGTAGTTCAAATTAACTTGTTGCTCCATTCCAATTAGCAGAGTTCACTTCATTTGTCGATTTGATGATGTTTTTGCAGTGGTTGGATTAAAGGCTTTCGGACGAATGGTTGCCTCCCAAGTAATAAACTGCACCATAATACCTTTTTGTCTAGAAGAATTGGCAATCTCTTCCTGGTTACTGCTATCAAATTTCTAATAAATTTGAGTGCGCAAAAATTTTATATGCCTTTTTAGTTCTATAGAAAAAACTTCTTTCCTGATCTCCTCTGTAAGTAAAAAGAAGAACACGTGAAGAGAACATTACTTCATAAATGCTTTTGTGATAGAAGTTCATGGTCATCACGCTCAAAGCTGCTATTTTCACTTCCAAAAACATTCTGCAATAAGAACGCCATGGTTTTTTTCTTTTAAAAAGAGTATAGGCTTGTTCCCATCAAGCTATTGATACAAGACCTTCCAAGAAAACTTCAAAACTGTACAAAATGACATAAAACTTCCGCTACGCACAATAGAGGGGCCTAGACTGGATTACTGTAGATCCGAGTATGACGCGAATAAACAGTCTGCGCGTTTTCTAAAAACTGCTGCCTCCCTCTGTTTTTTCTATCCAGACAGATCAGCTACAAAAGAATTTGTTTATCTGTTTTCTGTAGATCACTAAAGCCAAGATTGAACAGCAAAAGTGCATTTATGTGGGACGAGGGTGTCCTAGACGGAAGTGGTATACGGTAGCTCGATTAAGAGGGCGTTACCTTTAGAACTTATCAGATTTTCTTTGGCTAAATCTCATAACCCGCTTTATTTACCTCCTATGATTGATCTCTGGTATCCTTAAGTAAAGAAAATATTCTCCCAGACGTCCTAAACACTTCATTTAGGATCCCAAGTGGCATTGTTTTCTAGCAATGAATTTAGGGAATAGTTTTTTGCATTGATGATTATTTGGTTCTCAACTTGTTTTTTGTCTGATGAGAGAAGACTTTGTGAAGAAACCATTTATTCTCAATTGACTAATTATGAGAAAACGGTCTCAGATTGTTGGAGGTAGAATATGAGTAGGTCAATTTGATGAAAAAAGCTTTTTCTGAAATTAAGCATTAAGGAAATGAATAGGTAAAATGTTTCAATTATAATCGTGTTTTTTATTCTAATGGGAAGCCGGAGAGGGTTGGCTTATATCCCGCGCCAAGAAACTCTACAGTATTGCCTTATAAAAAGTTAGAATTAAGCAAAAACGAAAAAAGATCCTAATTTATAGTCTGCACATTCAGTTTGGCCACTTTTTTATCCAATAAGATTTGCTTCTGAAAAAAATGAATTTATTTGCCTTTAGATATTAGCAATTCCCTGCACCCTTTGATTAATGTCATTTCAATCCCAGAGGAACTAAGCAAATTTTAGTTTAGAATTCTCGAAGGAAAACTCGAAAAAATCTGCCACATGGCAGAATTTTTCCTCAAAGGAAGTATTGAATTGGTTTACGAATAGACTTTTTCAAACGCCATTCCTCTTGCTTTGTTGTATTTTTGATTTCTGGCTATTTTTTTGTTGAATATATAAGAATAGCCCCAAAATGCTCACAGAACGACTAGTTCTAGTTATTGTTGTTCACAAATGTGTTGTTATTGTAGCAAATAGAATTTTCCAGCCCAAAGAGCACTACGCAAAAGAATCGAATTTTATGTCTGTCTCAAACCCGTTAAGCTCATCATTTCTCGATCTTTATTCAAATAATCTGGGATTAATCAGCTGCGATTAAATTTGGCTAATTTTTTGATTCGATGAATGAGTTAGATTACCTCAAATGAGATGAAACGCATAATTAGAAAAAAAGATCACTTTCATTCAAAGGAAGGATTGCAATTTTTGGCTGTTATCTGGAATATAAATGTTTTTTCGAGTTTTGTTTGCATAATTGTAAATATCATTTCCAGTTTTTACAACATTTCTCGCATTTTACATTGTTTCTGTACTAATCCAGGTCACACTTCTTATAAGTAATGAATAAAATTGGAATGAGAACGTTTCTAAAGTGTGATTATAACTATAACTATTATGACTATAACTTTGTCAGAATATTTTTGTGAGAACACTGAACTTTATCACTCCATTTCGTTCCTTCCCTCGGAGTGGGAGTTTGAAATGAGTTCTAGGACTTCCCCGAAACTCTTCTTATAAGAATTTCTGAAATTAATGCGCTCTGACTAAACTACCAGTCAAGTTACAGTATACCAATTTCAAACGCTGATATCAACGTATAATCAAATATCACCAGCATATAATATATAGTCATACATGAATTGCCATTTTTTACTTTATAATTTTCTCAACTTTTTTCTTTGCGACTTATAATTGCTTTTGAGAACTTTGCTCAGGTGCTTCACAGCTTTTGGAAAACAAAGTTATCGTAGATCTGCGTAGAATTTGCTGTAAAAACACAGCAAAAGGCTTACAGAAATATATCCACATTATGATTGTTGCAAAATCCCGCAAACTCCGCGAATTTCGTAAATCCCGCATGATAATAGGGGATGCATGTTTGTATTCCATTGAAACTATATATGGAATTTGCAATTTTTCGTGTAAAAATCCTCAAGTAATGCTTGGACAAGACGTCCAGACACTATGCTCTAGTCTGCACAGTTCTGCACTGAAAATAAGTACTATCTGCAATTTCTGGGAACCCTTTCTTGACAAATATTCCAGGAAAACTACATCTCAAAGGCGCCAGACATGATCTACGAAACAAATGGTTAATTTTAGTCTCAAAAAACAAACAAACTAGTACTGTGTAATGATCTATCATAGAAAAGGCTAATACTAATTTTAAAGATGCTAGTAGTACTGTGTGCCCTTTTTCCAGGAAATCACCGATCCCTCGGATGTTTTCTGATTTCTGCCAGACGCAGACTTAAATTCTAGTCTTTCAATTATATCCGTTTTACATCAGCACACAAACGGATGCAACGATTAAATGAAATGGTCACCCATTGCAAAACATTAATGGCTTTGCTCTCATAATCTCTCAATTCTATAAAATTAATGGGTTTGCATAAAAAATACGTTTTTTAGAGACATGAACGGTCGCCAATGTAATTTTACTCTTTTTGGCTCGAATTTTAATTTATTTGATGGTTTCTCAAATATTGACCAAAATATGGTGGAAACGTCATTTCCTAATGTCCTAAATAAATTTACACTTGAAATTCGAGAACGCCTGACACCAACGCAGACGTTTTTTTCCTATTTTATAAACAATTAACTAAAGTAATGTTAAATCAAAGGAAGCGTTCGCATCCGGAGCCGTGACATTGCTCCGCCCACTTAGAGAGTGAGATGAGAGCAAATGCAGAACTCTGCGCTGTTGAAAGCCGCTCTTCCGAGGGTGTAAGGGCGTCAACAGGTCGTGAACTCGTCCACTCAATATGCGCAATTGAATCTGGACGAGTTTCAGAATAGTTATGCAAGTTCGAATAAGTTGGACAGTTTTTGAAATTTTTTGTTCATACGCTCTTTCTCATATTCCGCTCATAAATTGAGTCTCCTTATTCTTGATTTTAAAAGTCATATAAAAACCCTATACATAATTTTGCTGTAGAAGGTAACTCGTCCACTATCTCCACAAGAAGTCAAGTGGACGATTTACTCAAATATCTCTTGTGTTGTACGTAATTTCCTAACACTCTCTCTTCATGATAAATCTTTATCTTTCATCTGAACTTTGGCATAAACTCGTCCTATTAATGCTTGGATCTAGCTTGAGACGGACGAGCTCCTTCCATATTATATTGTTTTCTACGTAATTCCTACTAATCTCTTTGCAAATTATATTTTCATCCAAATGCCAGGGTAAACTCGTCCACGAAGGGTTTACTCACTGCTCTGATTCATTTGGGTCGATTTATGAAAACTTTGCTCCGTACGTGATCCTCGAGTTCTTCACGAATCAAATCCTTGCACATTTTAGGGGATAAACTCGTCCACTTACTGTTCAGTGTTCGTTCATTGTGGCCGAGTTCCTCAGTGGCAGTCTGAGATTTTCTGGGGTGGGAGGGGGGGGGGACAACAACAATTTTTTCGAATGAAAGTGCGTGATGTTAGAACAGTTATAGTTACTAACCTAAATTTATGGGTAAACTCGTCCAAGAAAAACACTTACTAACCGAATTATTCCACTATGGACCATTCTGTTTTTTGTAAGCGATTCTGAAGACTTCCTTTATAGGTTCTATATTATCAGTCTTTGTACATTTCATAATTCATTGCTCAGTTATTTTTGGATGCAAGAGTACAACTCGTCCTCCTTTGCCGAATCACCTTTGATGACCTCTATAGGGCTAAGTAGCCTCATTCCTATTATGCAAATTGTTGTGCCCTAAAAGTTCAAGAAGATGAATCAATGAGCTCTAACCACCTGTTTTTGAGATAAGAAAAGGGGATTTATGTGAGAGGAAAATCCATGAAGCCGTCATCTGGCGATGTTATTCACCCATGAGATACTTCAAAAGCGTAAATTTGTTTTCTGATTTGAATTTCAATAGTGGAGTCTCCCACGAAAAGGCCGCCACCAGCCTTTTGTTTAAAAAAAGTAGCTAATCTAATATTTAGATTAGACTACTTTTCGTCGTCTGGTCGGATAGCACTTTTCATATTTCAATTTCTATTTTTCTCAACTGTCTGCTATAAGTCTACTTCCTCCAAATTGCATTTTTTCTCCGTTTCTGCAATTTCTTTCTAATTGTGCGACGTAATTCTCTTTTCTCTCTCATGCCTGAGAAATTTGTGCGTCATGGAATTATCTCTTTTTTATTCGTTGCTTAATCCAGCTTTGCCCGTGGAATTTGTTAATGGCTTATTTCTCATCGGTATTTCTTTGCAGAAATGCTCGACAATGACAGTGTCTCTGAAGAGAACGACCCTTTATGTCCATTGGTGAGTTTACCTCAAAAATTCTTGCAGTTGATAGCATTTGATCCATAAGCCTTGCACCAAGAAGGGCTAGAAATTTACCTAAAGATTGTTAAACAACGTTTTAAGTTATATTTTTTGAAACCGACAATAAGTGCTCTGTTTGAACATCTATATTAGAGATTTTATTTAGAACAAAATAGAACTGTTGAACCAATGTCGAAAATCATAAGTATCAATGGAAACATCCAATCGCTATACCTGCATTCAGAAAGAGTAGATCGTAACCAAAATTGAAGTCGATTTTCTTACACTTTTTAGAACTCTTAGAAACCAGAAATTAAAAAAGTGCAGTTTGGATTTTTCCCTTAATCAGTTTGTATCACCGTGATATGAAAAAGGGCTTTTGCTTTGTGCAAGTCCGAAAGCTGATTTTCTCATTCTAAATATATGTGATTAAACGAATTTTCGAAAGAACAAAGAGTTACAGTTTTTCAAAAATTTTGGTGTTGGACTTATGGATCAACCTGAAGCAAAGTATTGTGTGAAAATGGACAAAAATTGGATAGATGAGCAGAAGAGCTTGACTGGTCCTGTATAACGCATGGTCTTTCCGAATATTTAAATGACTAAGAAGCAAAATAAATGAATAAATTGGTGATTAATATAAATTATTTTTAGTACGAAACCTACACGCCTGTACGTTTCATTCTAATCACATTGGCCAGCGTTATAGCATGCCTTGGAACTGCTGCCAATCTTCTCCTCATCAAATTATTTACAAAGAAGAAAAAGGTAAGCTCAAACAATTTTACACCATTTATAGTACTGAGAAAATGATTGAAGACGTGTTCACTCAGTAGCTCGTTGAAGTTTTTGAAGCTTGTTATTATAATTACTCCGGAATGCTTATTATAACAATCAATTTTCATCTGATCTTCCACTCTCGTCCTCTAGTAGCGCTTTTTCTAAGTTCAGCAGGAGCTTTCTTTTCATAAAATGTCAATGAACCGCCAAAAAATTCTCAGCTTTTGCGTGCCCTATTGAGAAATGCAAGTGCTCTGCATTTCTCAATGCAGAGCACTTGAATTTGTGGCAAAATGACGTGCAATGCAATTTCGCATGGATTTCGTCATTTTTTAGCAGTTCTCATAGTATTTTATCCAGATGTGCATCTCTGATTATACAATTTCAGTCTCCAAGCACACCAGCAACGCTTTATCCGACAATTTTGGCATTCCTCGACTTCGCCATCTGTCTAGAATACCTGCTTCTCTTTGGTGTTGATGCCATTGTGAGCTTCATGAAAATCGAGGTAAGGTCAACAACCTTTTAAAGTTACCGTAAAATAAGTGAAACCATGAGAATTCAGGAAAAAGAAAACGTAAATCAAAACCCATTTTTGTGGATTTTTCCCAAAAATTACTGCAAAACTACCTTTCTAAGGAAGCAGATAGTTGCTGCCTAAATTTTCATAGTTTCTTCCGCGCTGCTATCTTTTCTTGGATTTTTTTCAACTTGGACCATTTTTACTGGATGTTTTTCTTCATATTGAGATGCTTGCCCATAAAATTGGTGCACTATTTTTTTTAGGGGGTAAAAAAATAGGTGTTGACTCATCCACTCAAATCATAACGATTCCTGACTCAAACCATTTGAGCGGATAACATCTGCTTCGTTGATTTTTCTCATCTTACCCTGCTTCTCGCGTTTTTTCTTTGGCGGATCAAGCTACCACATCCGACTTTGTCCGGGGATAATCTCCTCGCAAGTCACAAGACTGTCTTTTTCTGAGAAAAAGACAGTCTTGAGGGTATCATCGTTGAGACTCATTCCAGTTCATCATTTGAGTGATATGAATCACTTCTTGATGAGATTAACCTAGGGGAAAGAGCGATACTCATTAGGGTTATTGTAGAGTGAATGATGTAAACGAATCCTTGAAGGGCTCTAGTGGAGAGAGGCTATAGTATGTTGATACCTAGTAAAAACTAGAAAAATCTCATGAAGGTTTTGAGCTGCGTAAGAATTCCACAGTAGTTTTAAGGTACAAATTGTCAAAAAATATTCAATAAGCGTAGCCAAGACAAACATAAGATAGAAAAATTACAGATTTTTCACTTTTAGTATATCTGAGTAGCATTTTCGCAACTGTTTGTTAGCTTATCTTTATTACAAATACCACCGTGAAAAGCTCACAGTCAGCTGTCAGAAAATTTGCAGAAAAATTCAAATGCCAGAATAAGACCGTGTTTTTCCTCTCGAAAATAACTTTTTTCAGAGTTTATTCATCCTATACTATTCCTACATCATCCCAGCTTTCGTAGCCAGCCGAATCACACAACTTGCCATTCCTTATATGCTCATATTTGCAACGCTGGAGAGGCTTGTATGGACATCGGAGAATATGTAAGTTTGGAAAATCTAAGCACTCTGCTGTCAAGAAAAAAACAGCACAGTTTATTCATTTATTTATCTATTTACTTATTTATTTATTAACGAAAGCGCTTAGGATATAATCAGTAAAAAAGGAAACAAGAAGACATCCATTAAGTCAGCTCAGAATTGTTGTAAATTGTAATGTCGTCATTCAAAATTAGATCAAAAAAAAAAAAGAATTTATCGCATAGGCAAGATGAGATTTATTCAGATATGCAGTTTTTTTAAAACACTTCATGATGTGTTCCCTTTATTCTATGTATTTGTTTGTACCTATCGTAATCAGATAAACTCGAAAACAATCTAATCTTCGAACTGCGCGTAGAAAATGAAATAGAAACGAATAAACTTAAACAAATGTATGAACCACAACAAGGAACTATTTCATATAATGCTCAAGTGAAACATCCAATTAAAAACGAGTAAATAGATTCGGAGTGGGATTGTTTACCAGTAATCGGTTTGAATAGTAAATCTTCTGGTTATATCTAGAAAGCAATGAGTGAAAATTATATTGCCACACTCTTCCTAAGTTATTTACGCTTTCAACTGAGTGAGTTTGGTGAAGTTGATTGAATCCTTTTGGGAGAGATAAAGGGACAAATTAGCACAAATGAGACACATGGACCGACATTTGCGTTGATGATAGATACCACTTGCAAATGCAGAATTCTCTTTTAGAGAGGAGCAACGAAAATATCTAAAGGGTGTGACATTTGGCACACACTGCAAAAAAATTCTCTGGGCTTGTATTTTAGAATTTATTTCCAACTCTTAACTTTTCAAAGAAGTTTGTGAGAACTTATGAATAGTTGGGTGCAAAGTTTTAGCGATGTGCACTCCCACCCATCTCCCCTCGCTGCTTCGTGTCAGGACCACACTGTTCAATATTTCAACCTATTGTTTTAAGCAGAGGTTTTCTCTCAAGAGTGATGAGCGACAATGATATTTATAAGGGGTAGGAGAGTGGAGTGTGGCACCACCTCCTGCAGGAAGGCTCTTTGGTTATACAAATTTTGGAGGAAAACACTTTACCTCTTAATTTTTCGAGAACTGTAAAAGTAGTCAAAGTGATGAAAACTCGCGTGAAAAACCGCCGCAACTTGAAGCCCCGCCCACTTTTTACTGTATCGCGTCAGAATCTACATTGTACAGTACTTCAGACACCTGTTTAAGACCCTATGTTTAACACCTGGCTGCGGAAATTTTGAAATTGCCACCGCCGTCCACACCTAAAGGAAATTATTGCACTCCTCTGTCCGTGTAGTACTGTTAGTATAAAGTATATAAGCACAAAAAAATAAAATATAAAAATTTGAGGAGAAATAAAATAAAATTTGTCGGCTTATTAGGTCTTTTTTAGCGTTTTTTTTATGAAATCCTAAAAAAATCTCTTAAACCCAAAAGTAATAACCGAGCTTTTTTACACCAAATATTTTAGAAGCAGCCGCTTCCTCCTAGCGATGTACTCCAATTCCGGTCGTTACTTTACCGCTATTGTATCACTCCTGGTATGCGTGGCTCTCCGATTACCGACAGCTTTTGCCATTGAAGTAGCTGAGTATCCAGACTGTGATGACTTCTTCAATACAAAGACAACTCAGCCAAGGTAGGGCACTTCCCATCAAAAAAAATTTTTTCAATTCAAAAATTCCATTTTTTAGGGAGTGGACAAAACATTCGGAAATTTTCTACTTCTTCGACTGGCACGTCATGACAATTGCTCAGACCTTGGTGCCCTTTATCATCCTGTTCGCTCTAAATATTGTAAGCTTCAAAAATATTTTTATGTGCAATTTTGCGTCATTTCTAAATGTTTTGGCTCAGGCGGAGCTGTCGAGCGTGCGGTTGCCACAAAGCTGTCGATATTTACAAACTATTTTAAATCGAAACAGAAAGCCAATTCTGAAATTAAATCTGGTAAATATTGCAACGTACACGCACGGCAACCTTGCCCTACACTACACCACACTCGTACTCAACTACCGTATCCGTATATTGCAGTAAGCTTATATTTAGCATTCCAGGTAATCATTCGGAAGCTGACGGTCACAACCCAAAAGAAAGAACTCCTTTGCGATCATTCTCAAGCTCCTGTCGATTCGCTGAATACTGGTAATGATAGCGAAGGTTATTGAATAATATAAGATTGCATGCTAGTGAAAACACAGTAGAGAAAGCTTATTGCTTAGATCTTTCTATTTTTTAATAAATAAATAAGCATTATTTTAGTGATTTCGCTCTCCATCCGACCTGTGAAGAGTGTGAGTGCCTCGGTGAGAAGCGCTATCATGACCATGGTCGCCATCGTTGCCACTTATCTAATTTCCAACACACTTCATCTCATTCTCACAGTTATGGAAAGGTGAGTAAATGGTCACTTGATCGAGCAAAAAATTGCAAAATGTTTTTGTGAAGTAAAGTGAAGTTTCAGCTTTTAGTGAAGTTTTTCAAATTAGTATAAAGTTGTTTAACTCAACAAGAGTATCCTTTATCGTTTTATATGTCATACTTCTATTTTGTATCACTTCAATTAGATGTGTTGACAATCACAGCTGCAGTGGAGCTTAAAAATTCTGAAAATTTTTTAGGATTCCTCCCGAATTTTTCGTCTGGTTACCCTTATTTTAAGAATAGGCGTGGCTAATATATTTGATGTTCCGAAAATAAAATTTCTCAAGCATATGTAAGTAAAAATAAGTCATTTTTACAACTTTGCGACCCATCGAGACAACTGTCAAAAATTTCCCTCCTCCGCTTTTTCCTTCCGCCCTCCCCTCCCCCCCCCCCCCCGTTCCCTGCTCAGTCTGCCGCTTTTACAGTACAATGATCAAATAGCAGTTAGCGTCTCAACCCAAATAAAATATTCAATAATAATTTTTATAGTCAAAAGACGAATCAACGTGGACAGCCTAATCAAAACAAAATAAAAACAAAACTCGATCATAGCTCCACTTGACACAATTCGAGCCTCTAAAAAGGTCGCTTTTGAACTGTTACTGCTTAGAAAGATGGAAATTTGGAAGGATAAGCGCTTAAAATCGGTTGCTAGTCTTGACATTCAATGAACGGTGTGGAGCACTGAGAATTTTGAAAAAAAACCCTCTGTTTTCGATAGCAGTCTCATTTTTCGCGTCTATTTTAATGATTGTTATGTGAGGAAAAGCTCCTTATATAAGAGTAGGATAGATTTTCTATGGAACGGTAACTGCCTTTTTCCTTTCTTATTCAAGAAGAAAGAATGTTATCGTAAATTTTCTAGCACTTTATTCGTCAACAAAGAAAAGCTTTCTAATGGTTTGCAAGAATAAGATTTTCTTTCCAGGTCCGACCACCCTCTTCTATTCGACACGGAGGATCCGCAGATGTCATCAGCTTTCCATACGTTTTTCTCCGATTCGGTCTCATTCGTTTATATGTTTACGTCGGCTATTCGCCTTGTGATCTACTACATCTGCAATCCAGTCATTCGCAGAGATGTCCACAACTTCTTCCGTGGGAACACAGCTGTTTATCTTTGAGTTTTGAAAAAAAAATGCTGTATGCGTCTCAAAAGCATCAGATTTGAGCTTTTCTCAGAATTTTTGTAAATCATTACGGGTTTTTTCCTAGTCGCGTTTTTCTATGCTATTTGCCGGTTTAGTATCTCATTTCTTACTCACTGTAGCCCAATTTTGATTAAATTTACTAATCGTGTGAATTGCTTATTTTTTCATGTCTCTAGGTTTCACGATGCTTTATAGCTTGTGCCATAATACGGTCGCTCATGTGTTAGCATTATCGGGTGTCTGCTTCGAGATTTTATGAAATAAAAAGTTTATGAATTTGTATTTGCACAGAAATCGAAGCAATTTATTGCAGAGCTTATATGAGAGCTGCAAAATGCAAAGAGGATTCGCTTGCTCTAGAAAGGCTCTTAGACGTCAATTCGTAATCTGCGTGAATGTGCAAGCCTCATCCAAACCTTTTGAGGTCAAGATTCTCGCTGCCCATGGGGACAATTCTACCTCATAAAAACTTTTTTGGCGGCTTTTCTCAGCTTTTTTTTCTTCAAGCGTAAAGAAAGAAAACTTATGAAAACCTCCAAGCATTTATAACGGCCAACGCACCCTATGAAGTTACCCATAACCTGGATTACATAGGCGTACATACTATGTCATAAATGACCCCGTACAAAAATAATGATCACTGTAGAAGGTTGAGGATGGTTTTGGGCTTCCTGTAAATAGTAAGCAAGACTAGTCACAGATTTTTTCGCCAAATTTGAGTTATGCCCCCCCCCCCAAAAGCAAGCCTAACAGGATATGTTTAAGCTTTCTATCGGTTTGCATAACCTGAATTTGCCACTATCTTCTCTACTTTCATCAACTGTAGGCAAAATACGCTAAAAGAATTCGTTTTAAACCTTTGACTCCTCTCTCAAACTTTCTCAAAACTAAATAAACGTTTACCTGTTTTTTACAAAATAATTCCACGGGAGCAGATTCAAGACTAGCTGCTAAATGGTGTTATAAAAGGTCGTTTATAGTGTAAATAGGACCAGGATCTTTGACTTTGACTTTGAACAGTAGTCTTTCTAAACAGCGTGTATTTGCATCCTAATGTTTTAAAGGTATGTACATGTTCAAGCGTCATAGATGGGTTCCTGCGACAGCTTCAATCAACATAATGAGTATTACTGTAAAGCTTTGTAAGAAGCAAATTTTATTCTCTAACCGACTTTTTTAACAAAGCTTTGTCTTTGTTACATCTAGAGCTATAACATCTGCAGTTTAAGATGCCTGTGAAATATAAGCAGCATTTATCTGGAGTCGTTTTACCATATTTTCACAGCCATATAAGTTTTGATTTATTATCCAACATCCAAGGAGCCAGAGTATTCAAACTAAACTCTGCAGAAGAATAACGATGACTAGAGAAGAGATTAAAGCTTTAGGGGAAGCTGATAACGTTAATAAGATTTTATGCGAATATTAACTACTAAATCGCTCCTATAACTAAGAGTGAGCTCATCTTTTTGAATTAACCCCCTTTTAGCAGCTTTTCCTTTCTTCTACTCATAGTCTGTTCCCTAATTTGCACGAAAGCGTTCTTTGCTAAGTTGCTGCGATGATGCAGAACAATGGTCTAATTAATGGATGACACACGTCTGCAGGAACCCCCAATTCTAAAAAACATGATTGATCTGGTATTACAACGATTTTGTTATCAAACATCACTTTTCAAGAACTTTTGACTACACTTTCATAAGTGTTCGAGCACGTTTCATCGCAAATTCCATCTGTCACTTAAACCAAATCCGGTGTGACTTCTGTTCCAAGAAGAGACGTAGGTATAACGGAACGATAACGACCACCCAAGCATGAGTATCTCTTCGACGTCATCATTTCACCGCTGATTGAGTCGTGTGTGCAGGCAGCGCATGATGAACAGAACAGATTTGCGCGGCTAGTCTCGGGATTTCGCACACACACCGATCTGGTTATTTGTTTAGGGATTAGAGATCTATGGCATCACACATTGGACCAGAAAATAGTGTCTAGCACATGGACATGGCAACATGAGGTAATCATGTAGTAAGAGAACAACATAAACAGAAATAAATTGAAAAAAGTTGTTTATCAATTAGAAGCTGTTGAATTATTGGCAATATGGCAGAGTTTGCCAGTTTTTATCAGCAGAAGAAGGTTTTGAGGTTTGATGTGGTTTGATTGAATCGCTCTACAGGCATATTATCCATTATTTTCAAAGCCAAATGGTTGAGGTGGCAAAACTCTCAAGAAATTGGTTGGCGCATTGGACTCTGATTCTTCAATAATTGTTAGCAAAAAGTAGTTTTTTCTAAAAGTTGAATTAATTCCTCTGTAACAGTGTGCTTAATGCTGAGATTTATGTAGCGTTTTCAAATGAAGAAATTGCACTTCTCAACTCTTGTTTGATAATTTTTCTGATACGTAAAAATTGATGGAGAAGTACAGGGTGGCCGGTAAGTACGGGGCGTCAGAACATCTAATATATCTTTCTTCTAAAATATTCTATCATGGCGGCTAATATGCCTTTAGCTTATGAACAGTCTCTATGTTCGCATAAGTGAAAACTACGCGAACTGAAGTCTTCTGATTCCTGAGTCTACTTTCTCTCAAAAGGCGCTGCGACGCGTTCGGTCAACACCATATTCATAGTACCGTATCTTATTTTATAAAGGGGAATATTTGGCGGTTACGGCATTGTGTTATTCCTTGGCCTGTGCTCTACAAACCCCAGGTCTTAAAATCTAATCGATTAATAATCGGGTTATTCTAACGGATTTGCAAGGGTACATTCTTCAAGTAGCATTTGTGACGATCAACTACAAGGTAACCTGCTGAAATCTGTGTGCATGTGCAGGAATCCAGTCTTGCAGGAGTAACACAGTGAGGTGCCTGTGTTTTTGGCATGCAATAAAATGTGACCCCCGTAATTTTCGGCCACCCTGTACAACAGAATGTGGACCATTTGCAAAGGTGGCGGCTCAACCACAATGCTTAATTGTGTGTTTAACTTTGTGAATACTAGTAAAAAAGCTACACTAAAAAATATACAAATGTAACATGGTCAATAACTTCCTATCAAAAAGATTATAATGCAAAGTACCTATAGTCTTTAGGGTCCTTTAGACTCACATGCTTCCTTTAACTTAAAATTTTTTTCCCGACTCGCTGTAGTTTTCCTTATTGGTTAACATATGGTTACGATAATTGGCGCAGAAGCAGACTGATTACATTATGGACCAATAAAAAAGAGCAAGGTTCGATTTCACTTTCCGGCTAAAATCCTTTCATCCCTCATAGGCGGAAGTGGTCATTACAGCTCTTTGAGAGCACAGAGATTGAAAATAGCCAGCTTCAATTCTGAATGATTGGTCTCCTTGGAACATTGTGAAACCTCCCCCCCCCCCCACGGTTGCCCTTTTGATGATCGAAATTTTCGCTTTAGACAATATGAGGATTGAGGAGTCAAATTCTTGAACTTTTGTGTTCAGTCACTGCAGCTTGAATAGTTTTGATGGGTGTATCTTCTTCCCTTACGTATGACCTGACTCTTCGTCCCCAATCACATTATCATCCTTTTCCACGAATAAACACAACAGCATTCCTTCCTGCAAACAACCGCCAAGTGGAGATCAATCAAATTTTTTCTGCATCACAATCCAAGAATATTTAGAAAATAACCCTGAACAAAGAATAAAGGTTTTTTATAACGTCTTGATTGCACCAAAGAAGAGTAAAATTGCAGGCATTTTTTTGTAGACAAAGAGATTTCACGCACTAGACATATTTGTAAGTGAAGAACACACGAGTTAGAATATTTGATGAATAGTTTGAGTTTAACAATGGATTAATTTCATTTTTTTGTTCTAAATTCATTCACTTCCTTAAAGAGACCAAATTTTTGAGTTATTTAGAGGCAGCTAGTAAGAACGGGTTGAGCTTAATGTGAGGGGAGAAAGAAGGATAGAACATATAGCACGACAACTAGTAAGGTTTTTTCTATAGCAGAAATCATCTAACTTGGGTTGAGCCTTTTTAGGAAAAGTTGAAACCGATGGAAGAGTCCAGCCTATTATGCTCCAGTAGAAGTGATTATTTTGCAACGTTCCAAATACCTCGGCGAAATGCAATACCGTAATCTGCCAATTCTGCTTACTCGCTATGGCTATTTTGTTTTGAATCCTCTTCACAACGGATCACTCACCACGCTAAGCGCTCACTATTATTTGGCAACGATTTTCGTTGGTAACCATGATAATTGCAGATATAATGAGATCGAACCGGTGCTGTTGATGCCGTTGTGATTTTGGTTGCTTCGTATAAATAACGATGGAAATAATGCCGTACGCATAGATCTGTGAGTTTATTTATTGTTAGATCGAGTTCCAAGTTCTGTTATACATAGCTCATTTTCCTTTATTCTATACATCTCTTGAATCTTCGCGCAAGTTCTTGTCTCAAAAATTTCTAAAAATATCAGTTTTCCCAGAGGAAGATACTTTTATTTAGATAATAATGATGAAGTTGGTTGTACTAGTTGCCCTTGCCGCAGCTGTTTTCGCAACATGGAGTGAGATTTTTAGCTTTTACCATGAGGCAGCGCCAAGACGTGCTCACGTACCAGAGCCGTGCCAGGCCGTGCTGACGAGATTCCTAAAGTTACCGTATTTTATATCTATCTACCTACGTTTCAGCGCTGCGGTAGCAGCTGGCATGGTGCTGGCACGGGTCTGGCACGATAGCTCTGGACCAAATTCATTCAACTCCTTGAACCTCCTAGTAATGAATTTGTTCTATTTTCTAGATGGACAAATTGAAGATGTTCCCGGAGTTGCCCCTCAAAATATGGAAAAACTCCGTGAAATCCTCACTGTAAGCTCAACTTTTCGTTTTGTCAAATGTACAACAAGAAATGTTTTTTCTAGTCCCGCCCAAACAACAAGGAGGAATTCAAAAATAAGATGGAGATGTGGTTGAATGGCCTTACTGAGCCAGAGAAGGTAGCAAGCACTTTTTTACCATGAAAATACCTCAAAAATTGAACCTTACATGTTTTTAGGCAGCTGCTTACAAATTCAGGGAAGAGATGCAAGCACACCAAGAAGGGGGTCAACCAGTAGTCTCTCCTTCAAAGTAGATTATTATTAGTTGATAATTATGTTTTGTAGATAATAAAAATTTTCTTGTTGACGCATTATGGTTATGTTGTATAAACACAGAGAGAGAACACATATGAGAAGTATTTATCTTAATACTTGAAAATTTTTTCAACATAATTCAAATGAAAAAATGTTAAGCAGTAAAGCTGTATAGCTCAGCAGTTCCATCCTTATAAAGTTTGATTCAAAAGTGTGCTACCGGTTCTTATTGTAAATCTTTCGAAAGTATTAGGTTGGTTGGCTAAAAAATAATTTCGGTCGTTAGAGGTTTGTAAAAATGTCGCAGATAAATTTGTATGCAAATATTTGGTACCATTCGAAAGAGTAAGGAGAATCGAATGATTAACTTTGTTTGCTCAAAAACTATTTCTATTGATGGCGAAATGGTGCGGGAGAGCAAGAAAAACCAGATTTTTGCGTCAAATTTCCGAAACACCATGCTCCAAAAAACAAACTGAAATTTAGTGTGATGTACGCGAATGGTAAGCATGCATACAATTTTGATATCTGCGACCATTCGCGTGGCCATGGATGGTCAAATCAAAGCAATTTGAATTGTCCCAGAACTGACTTCCATGCGCAGATTCTTTGAAATTCACATTTTTGGCTGCAGAAATACATAAACTGCAGTCACAGTCTCCACTGTGGTTCGCCGTGTAGCCAAATTTTGTATGTGTTCAATCACCAAATTACTCGTCTCTGCACTTACTACAAGCTGAGAACAAAACTAGAAAATTCAAAAAAAGTGACTATCGAAGGGTAGCCATATAAGGTCATAACTGTCTTTTATTAGATTTGAGAATTCTATGTGATGAGTTTGTGGCAGTAGAAGCTTGAAGCTACCCGCATACAAAAGTTTGTATCAACATTTACTTGGATATTTATTGAGCTTTGAAATTGCATGTCAAAACGAAATCATTTATTTGTCAACCTAATATTACATTACAATAAATTTCCATTGTATAGCGACTGCATTTCGAAAAAATGGACTGATACCTGGGACTTGAGGTTTAGTTTAGATAGAACTCATTCGTTCATCTACAGTCGGTAGATCTGGCGGTAAATAGTGCTCTTGCCGAGTTGGCGGAAAAATTTGCGAGCGAACAATTTTCTACGCTCGAAATGTCGGCAATCTGAGTGTGCAGAATGTCGGAATAAGGCGTACCTATTTGCTCCCGCGCAAATTTTACCTTTAATACTTTTGTAAAACTTGCTAAACTAAAAAACTTCACTCTCAAAAGATTGGGGGGGGGGGTGCGTTAACTCGTGGCTTGCTCCTCCCGCCCCCACACTGGTTTGCCTATCACGGATGGCCGTGCACATGATTTTATGGAACGGTTACAAGCCCCCATGATTAATGCATCATTTCAAAACTCAGAAAAAGAAGAAACGTAGATCGACATTTTTCTTGCTCCTTTGGACAGTAATTGCTTTGTTTTCAAGATTTTACATTCTCTGGTTTTTTCTTTGTGGAACCAAGTCGACAGCTCAAAATAAACTCCTTTTGTAAATGATTCAAGCTGTTTATGCTTTTTTGATAGACTTAGGGTATCATCCGATAGAGCAAATCAAGCTCTTCAAAATGACAACCAAAAGTCTGTCTAGGTCATATTCCAGAGTTTGAAGCCAAGATTGAAAAAATTCTATCACTTAAAATTTGGATTATTGCGAGGAAAAACCCTACGCATCTCCAACTTGGTCATACAGTAGGAGTCAGTAGTCAGCCAGTACAGCAGTCATACATTTTACAGTAGGCACATAGTAGTACTCGAATATGCCTTTACTGGTTTTTTTTTCGCGCATAAAAACGAGCGAGAAAAAATTCTGTATGCCATTGTACACTACAAGCCTTACTTACTTAGATACTTAGATGGCCCGTCCTCACGAGACGGGCCCCAGTACAGAAGTTACCATTGATCCCTGTCCCTCGTTTCGGACAGCCACGATCTTCTTGGTCGTCGTCGGTGGCTGCGTCCACGAGTTCCAGGGGCGAGAATCGTATCCAGCTGATTTCTCAGCTGGTCCATCCGTTCCACGAACACGTCTGCCCATCTCGTCGGTGGTCTTCCTCGAGGACGTTTGGCTTCGCGAGGAATCTACTCAGATGTTCTTGGCGTCCATCCGTCGTCTGTTCTTCTCATTATGTGACCGGCCCATCGGTGTTTGGCTTTCGCAACGTATTCCGCTGGGTAACGAAGACGAGACATTCTTCTCATATCCGTGCTGCGAAGTCCGACTAGATGCTGCTTGTGTCGGGTCATCTTCAGAAGACTGCACTCGAGCGCTCTGTGGGTGGTCCTTAAAGCTTTCGACGTGGCTACGGTGTCACCCAAGTGTCAGCTGCGTAGCAGAGCGCCGGGAGAACGGTTGAGTTGAACAGGTGGGCACGAAGCTCCGGGTCCGTCAGTTGGTCGGTGGCTTCCTTCAGAGGTCCGAAGGCGGCCCAGGCTGCTCTTCTTCTCCTGTTAAGTTCTTCCCTCAAGTCGTTCTCCATGTTCATCGAACGTCCGAGATACACGTAAGAAGACGTCTCCATAATAGGGGTGCCTTCCAATTCCATTTCTGCATCTTCGCAAAGGGCGTTCTTCATGAACTGAGTCTTCTTCCGATCTATTCGCAGTCCGATCTTCTTCCCTACTTGGTTTAGTTCCTTCAGCATCGCCTCCGCTTCAGTGATACTGCTCGAGAAAAGGACGATGTCATCCGCAAAACGAAGGTTGGATAGGAATCTCCCATCAACTCGTATGCCTCTCTCTCCCAGTCTAGTGACTTCATCACCCACTGCAAGGCCGCGGTGAACAGCTTCGGCGAAATAGTGTCGCCTTGTCGAACCCCCTTCCCAAATGGAATGGTTAGGGGGCGATGGAACAGCTGCATCGTTGTTGTACAGTCCTTGTAGCAGTCGGCTAGTGTCCTCACGTAAGCTGGGTCCACTCCTTGATCGACTAGCGCAGACAGGATGGCGTTGGTTTCGACGCTGTCAAAGGCTTTCTCGTAATCGACGAAGGTTAGGACGAGAGGCATTCGGTACTCCCGACAGACTTCTATGACCCTCGAAACCGTCTGGATGTGGTCCATGCAGCTGAATCCTTTGCGAAATTCAGCTTGTTCTTGGGGCTGGGCTTCATCCAGTGCTTTAGATATGCGTGCGAGGATAATCTTCGTGAAGAGCTTGTACAGCACACTCAGCAGGCTTGGTCGGTAATTTCGAAGATCTTCCCGTTCACCCTTCTTAAAAAGAAGGACGGTTCTTGACGTTCTCCACTGGTCGGAAATCCTCTCCTTCTAGAGGTAAGATGTCAGGTGGGACGCGAGAATCTCGTGTAGACGTTGTCCTCCGGCTCGCAGAAATTCGACGGAAAGATGATCCGGCCCTGGGGCCGTGGACTTCTTCATGATCTGTATCGCAATACGCACTTCAGCAGGTAGATCCTTGGTGGTACTTCTCCAGTGGGAACAACGGGCGTCGGCACGGGTGTTGATGAGCGGAAGAGGTTGGTATAGAAGTTCTTCGCGATAGATTCCATCTTGTATCGGGAAGAAGTCGGAGTCCCGTCTTCGTTCAATAGTGCAGCCAGCGGTACGTGATATTCACAGAGGTCCCTTCGGCATTTCTTGAGACTTCGTCTTCCTTCGGCTGCTTCCAGTATCTTGGCTTGCCTGTACTTCCTGAGATCCTCCTGCATAGCTGTTCTGCAACTGGCGTTGGCTATCAGTCGCTCGAGATGGGTTGCATTCGGATCCTGCCTCAGAAATCTTCTTCCTTCGAGCAAGTCCTTGGTGGTCTTCGAAATACGTTCCAAGTTTTTCTCAGAAGTCACTGAGGCATGTTCTCCGCAGGCTCGCAATCCTTTCAGAAGCCGGTCGTAGTCGTACGTTGGGTCCTCCTCAATGGGCCAGTCACATCTTGATATGAGCTCCTCCAGCCAGTTACCGTCATAAACGACTTCCTTCCTTCTCGCGGCACTGTGACAAACTTTCTTTTCCAGCCTTCGGCTGAGTCGTATCTTCGCTCGAAAGAGATAGTGATCGGAGCCACTGCAGAAGGATGGAACTACTAAGACATCGAGCAAGCTCCACCTTCGGTTGGTGAGAATGTGGTCGATCTCCGCGTGAGTCGTTCCGTTGGGCGATTCCCATGTCCACCGGCGATGTTCTTTCTTCATGAAGATGGAATTTCCATGGAAGAGTCGCGCGGCGGAGAGAAGCCCAGCGAGACGGTTGCCGTTTTCGTTCCGGAGCCCATATCCAAATTTCCCGATCCTATATTCCTTTTCTAGTGGCATCCCGATTTTCGCATTGAAGTCGCCCACAACATACTTGTAGAAGGACTTTTCGTTGCGGACGACCTCCTCCATGTCTTCGTAGAAAGCTTCTAGTTCTGAGTCGTCAGCTACTGATGTTGGAGACGCCCCTACAAGCCTTACTAAGCATAATCTTGAAATTACCCTGTATGTGCTCTTGTAATCGAGAAATACCAAACTCGAAAAATGTGTTTTTGCACTTTAAGACCATTTTCCTTTCTCAATTGTGAGCCCCGAAAAAATCCACCAGATACGTTTTTTGAATACTACTCTGTGTATGTTATATGAGGACCAAGCTGGAAGTCCGTAGGAATTCTCCGGAAGGAGATCCGATTTTCAGGCTCTGAAAAATTTTTGTTTCCAAATTTTGCCTACATCACGACTTAGGTGGATTCTTGGCTTGTCTTTTTGTAGAGCTTGCTCCGCTCCATCGAATGTTACCCTAAGTCTGTTAAGAAAACGAAAACAGCTCGATTTATTTGAAAATAAATTTTACTTTTGGGACAACCCCTTATTTTATAATGATATTAATCAACTGGTTTTGTTTTTGCGGGCACAACTTGTTTTTGCGTCCTTTCTCAAATTTTCGCTTCGTAAGGGCGCAGTGATTCTTCTAAAAAAGGCTAAGCTTTTTTCTTTCATTCAAAAAGCCAAGCACGTTAAGCATCTTGTGCGCGATGATAGATTGCTCAGACCAGAATACTTGAGAAAGAAAAATGCTAAAGAAACCAAAGAAGAAACATAAAAACTTATAGCTAAGGCGGAATCGTGCGTAACTCAATTATATGTGATTTTTGGCATTCGGAGATTTGAGTAATGCGCCTGATAATTCTGCCGTAAAATGTTTGTCCAAAAAATCCTCGAGTATTTCTTGTATTTTGTTGCAGTCTCGATTTTCTTTCGAAACTCAGGCGTAGTTTCTAAATCAGCTTCAAGTGTTGGGGAACATCGGTTGCCGGACGCAAAAGTGAACTTGAGTGGGAGCGTTGCTCCCCGTATCGCAACTCTGCTCCTGGCTCGTACTCGTTGGTGGCACCGTAGGTCAAAAATAGATCATCATTTGTCATTGTTATTGCGAAACTTTACTGCTATTCAGATGAGTTCATGCAGATCCTGTTTAGTGGATATTGCTAGACTTGCTAGTGTTCAATGTTCTTTTTTATTTCAAGATTCTTTGTTGTTTCAATAAGTGTTTGTTCTATTTTGCACATCTAACCAATTTTTCCGGTTAAGTTTGGTTTGTTGCGAACAATCCAGATGCTTTCAGATGCTTCTTCACAGCGCAATCTTGAAAGCGAGATATCAACACCAGTGAACTGGCCGTGGATCTCGTACCTCATGTTTTGTAGCTTTCGCATCTGCCGCTAGTCAAGCATAAGGGTTATGTGTAAGGGTTATGTCCCAAAAAGAGTAAAACAAAGCTACAGACAAGCTTATACTCTCTCATAATTTCAACCTTCAATATCCGTTGACCATGGCGGAACGAGGGGAAGGGGGGGGGGGGAGGGGTAACCGGGAAGGGGGCGAGAACGGGTCGCTAAATTTTTGAAATCTACTTACGTGGGTTACGAAAATGTGCAAGTGAATTGTTAATTCTTGTGAACAACCAAAATGATTTTTAAATTTTTTTTAAAATTCAAGTTAGTCTTATAACATTTTTTTTCGGGGGCGTGGCTGACGCATTCTCGCGCAAGCACCTTTATTTGGAAATAATTTTTGCCGCACCCTCCCTCCCCCCCCCCCCCAGACGGAAATCCTGGGACCGCCACTGCAGCTAACATTTTCGTAAAAATACGAGGTTTGCCCATCTTCAAAACCGGATAGTAGATTTCGAGTTATCGCATCAGTAACTATTTCCTTATCATTTTGGGAGGCAAAGCTTTTATGCTTACGGCAGAATCGCATCTCGCATCAATTTTTTAAAACAATAAAATCATCGCATTGTGCTAAGACTAGTATTACGGTATAATTACGCATGTTTTCGATAAACCAGATGAAATGTGTAAGTTATAAACAATTTGACAGACCTCGAAATTGCAAGCAGCATTTTGAATAAGATTTTGTCTTAAAATTTTACATATTTCATCAAGGCATGCGTAGCATTACTGATACATAGTAAGCTTTAAGAGGTTTTTATCGAGTTTGTATAGAGATGGATTTTGAAATTACGGGCGTAACTCTGTCAGAAATCAGTGCTATGACTGACGTTTGCGGCGAGTCTGCCGTTGCGAGTTGGAAAGTAGTGAGCAGGGTCAAGCGTGGGGTGTGGTACGGCACACCTGGGGGGTCGTACTGAGGTGTCAAAAGGGGAGGGGGTCGTAGTTGGGTTATCTGATAATAGTGATAACATGATATTCGTATCATGCCCATAATTAGCATGTCAATTAACTCCTATAGACAGAGTTTGAGCGAATTTTGAAGATTCAAAATACTAGGCTACCTAAGTGAAATGGTCATTTTCCAACATGGTTAACTTTGTTCAAAGGCGAATTAGCTATCCTTTTTGCACTCAAGACAAAGCACTACTCCTTCTTTGTCTATCTCAGAAATCCCGCTTCAAAAGACCTCCAAACTGTGGAATTAGAAGCCAACCAAAATTTCATTTTTCCCATTTTCCGCTTTTGATGGCTGTGCTTTCACCAAATATTACTCATAGCTAAGAAGACGAATCAGGCTTAAAACATTCCTATGGAATCTACGAGGTTTAGGCTATCGATACATATAAATACCAGGCTACAATACCAGGCAAATACATGGCTGCCACAGCTTTTAAGGGGGTGTGCCACACCCCATTGACTGTGTCATAAAAACATTTTTAGCAAACCATGTTCATATGTGTCGATAACCTAAACCTCGTAGATTCCATAAGAATGTTTTAAGCCTTATTCGTCTTCTTAGCTCTGAGTGATATTTGGTGAAAGCACAGCCATCAAAAGCGTAAAATGGGAAAATTGAGATTTTGGTTGGCTTCTAATTCCACAGTTTGGAGGTCTTTTGAAGCGGGATTTCTGAGATGGACAAAGAAGGAGTAGTGCTTTGTCTTGAGTGCAAAAAAGAATAGCTAATTCACCTTTGAAACAAAGTTAATCACGTTGGAAAATGACCATTTCACTTAGGTAGCCTAATATCTTGAATCTTCAGAATTCGCTCAAACTTTGTCTACAGGGGTTAATTGACATGCTCATTATGGATATGTTGCCCATTATGTTTGACAGGGCCTTCAGGGCTATCTTAGGTATATAATTCAGGGGGGGGGGTTTAAGACAGCAATCAGGGGGGGGGGTCGTAACCAGCGATCGTGTGCCACACACCCCTTGCTTGACCCTGGTAGTGAGTATATCTGAAGTGTATCTCAGCATTTCACAATACAATGAAACAAATGATAAAGCTGTTTTAGTCTAACTCGACACTATAGATGTGATGTACCAAAATAAGTGACCAAGGTAACGCAACATTATTATTCGGGAATGGGCAAATTTATCTTCCGACACTTCCTTAACAATCATCTCGTAACCTTTGATTCAGGAATTCTACAAGGCTTTTTGGCGACGCGATGCCAATCTTTTTACAGCAAGACTTTGAGAGCGTACTGTGCTCGCAAAGCTTACAAGGGGGGGGGGGGGGGAATTTTTGATATGTGTGCACGAAAACCAATTTCTAGGCAAAGCTTTCTAGCCAGAGTCCATCTGCGGCCAGGTATTTCGTTGCAGAATATGAAAAATGTGTGTGTGTGTGCAATATCTGTACATTTTTTGTTTTTGTTATAACTTCAGAAATTGGACAAAAACTTGAGATCTTCATTTTCCTGCATCATTTCTCCATTAACATAACATTTTGCTTCAGCATACAGTGTGTCCGAAAAAGTGTGCACACTGTTTGATCGTCAACAACTCTCTTGCTTTGATGTCTTTCACCAATCTTCAAGCACCAATCTATAGAGCTGGCTTCAGCTCAAATTAGTAAGAAGTGAATCTTCGATACCTCTCCGTTACTGTAATGTTACGGTAGGCAATTTCAGAGTACAGAGCTGGTGAAAAAGACGTTTTGACCAAGAAAAATCACAGAAGAAATTGCGGAAAATTGGAAAGAAATATACTGAAAAAAACTGCGAAATTGCGTATCAGGGTTTTACGCATACTGGTCTCATTACAAAACTGTTTACAAGTTTTCTTGGCTTTTATAGTGGTGCAGTCAGATTTCTGATTTACATTGAAAGGGAAGTTTCTACGGCTTTTCAAACGACATATGAAAAAGCATGACTGTAATTTGAACTTTCATTTTGAAGTTAGCCACTCTCACTAGCTTAGCACAAAGTTTTTGACTTGTTGGGTCTTCTTTGAGGCGAAATGCGACGGCTTAAAACCCTTTCCAAAGTTCCTATCTTAATCCTACTATAAGGAAGAGAGATTACAGATTTATTTTTTATTGTAAACTTAAGCTAAAGCCAGTTCTCAAAATCGTAAGTGAAGATCGACAAGAAACATCGAATAGGAGAGCTATTCAATCAAACAATGTGAGCTTATTTTGAAACACCCTGTAATTGCCATGTTAAATCACTTTTTTCCAATGGCCAAGCCTTGCAGAAATCTGTCAGCGAAATCTGTCAGCGTCATCCTTACAAACCTTCAAAAACAATTGAACTTATTAGCCAGTTTAACTTATGGTGACGGTTATAAAAACGTAAGTCATCTATTCTGCCTGATAGTATTCAACCTGATAATTGAAGTAAGCAACCAAATATATCCCAAGCTTCTGTAAAAGGGACGTGTAAAGACTAGCCTGTAAGGCAAAATTGCCAAACCTTCAACGATTTCTTCATGCGAAACTTTGCACCATCACAAAAAAGACAAATCAAAGCAATGATCATTGTGCAGGAGAACACATTATTGCAGAATAGGATGCAACACTAAGAAATATATGCAAAAATGAAAAGTCATTACAACAACGCTAATACGTGCTGTCACACTTTTTGATCTATCACCCTCGTCTGTCGAGCATAGTTCGTTACTTGCATATTTACCAGACAACGATAGAAATCACGAAAGCGAACCGGTATCAAAACTATTTATAAAACTTTCTCTACATGTATATATAGGGCCGATACGATCGTAGCCTAACAACAGCGTTGATTCTTTGGCAAATCTTTCCTTCAAATAGCCTCTTATCAAGAAGCGACTCATTTACATTTACGACTATTTGTGCTGCTCACGCTTACTCTTAGCCTTGGTAATGAATATCCACTTTTTCCCTTGTCATTTTCTCTCATTAGACGTAAAGTCAAGTCGATTTCGGTCCTACTTACGTTCCTTTGATTTTGAGTAACTCAGAATGAGAGAATAAAGAGATGATGTTGGAAAACGCTACAGTTTTAGGCAAATTACTGAGAAAAGAACTTCTGTAATTGTTCATATTAAGCCTCATTCTCAATCGGATGAGTGAGATGAAACCAGTGGTGTGAGTGAAGCGCAAAAAACTCGCAGGACTTGTTATATCAGATAGAAAAGTTTGCTCCATGATCGTTAGTTAATGTGCACTCAGAAAAAGAAATAAGTTTTCAGAAAAACAGTCGAGTTTGAGGCTTGGATTTCGAAAGCTTGCAGTATGGTTCAGTCTTTTCAAAATAATTGCAAGTGCTTTGTTTCAGCTCCATTAGATGATGCTTTTGCGGTTTGTGGCCAACAGCTCTAGTTTTTGTTTATTCCCTACAGTTCCAAGAGGACATTTCAGCGTTCTAATAACACAAAGTCTCGAGAATTACACTTATATGTTGTTGAAAATAGATTGAATTAAGTCATTGCTTTTGCAGTTACACAGAGGATGCAGAAATTGCAGCTGTTGGTGGTACTGACTCTTGTCCTAATCATCTGCGCTAAAAGAGGTGAGTATCGGATAGAGAGGTAATTTAACGCAAAATTTAACGTTTGGCTATTCGCAAGATCTTTCGTTCTTGAGTGCTCGCTTTTATGAGTCTTTGCCAGTTGTTGGAAAACCCTAATTCGACTTGCGATAATGCATAAGAGGCTGCTTTGGTCAAAGAGAAGATTAACTATAGTGCGTCTTCGCATACATTTGAAGGGGAAGATTACGCAAAAAACAGTTGCGCAGCTTGTGAATTCGACTCATTTTTCTGTTTTTCAAATTTAGCACATAAATTTGTACAATTTGCTGCTATCTAAAGTTAAGTGCAACTCATTTTTTTTATTCTCGCAAGTTGTTGTAATAAGAAATAATTAGGTTATGGTTCACGGTAATCAAGTGGCATGCTGGATGCTTAGACAGCCTTCTGTCAATTTCGTACATCTGAAGTATTGGAAATTAGCATTATATAGCATGAACAGTGTTTGGTAATTATTGGCGTAAGAATAAGAGAAGGTATTTTCAAATGTGGTTCCCATGAATAATATGGGTATATGATTAGCAACTTGCCACACATTTACCTCCTCCTTTCCCTTTCTTCGTAGACTCTCTGAACAAATGATATTTTGATAGAACTCATTGGATCTGTCTATTGGGCTTTTTCTGCGGTAAAACCTGGTTTAAAGGTATCGGGTTGCTTACGGCACGATTGATCGCCGCCTTCTTGTCCATCAGTTTTCAGTGCAGGATGTCCTGCCCGCCCCAGAAAAGTATTGTTCAGGGACACCCTGCTCATCCCTAATCTTGTGCAGCAATCCAATTCTTTTCGGTATCACATAGATGGGCGAGCGTCATGCTCCAAAATCGGAAAAAAATCTGTGCAAAAACGTTTTTAATCATAAGAAAAAAAGGCGCAAATGTCGAATTTGCTCCATTTTGCCTTCTAAGGTTTCCATCGTTGGAAGCTATGAAATCCGAGTGAATCAGCTTTTCATGGAATTAGTAAACATATTTTAAAGAGTAAAACTTTCATACTTTAATTGCCCTTTCCAATGATATACACAACTTGCCACAAATCAACCGCTCCCCGACGAAATGGGAACGAAAATGAAACGCTATGAACTTATGGAGAATTTAATAAAATGACAGCTTAAAATTTTTACGAGTCTTCTTGTTTTAGGTCGACATGGTTTACAGGATATACCCGGAGTCAGCGAAGAGAACATGACAAAACTACGCGAAATATTCAAGGTAGGCTAATGCGAATACATAAGGACTTGTGTAGCGACTTATAATCTATAAGATTCAAAAATGCCATTACCTACGTAAAACTGAATAACGTGTACATCAGAGTGGAAGAGAAGAATTCAGACAGAAAATGGATGATTGGCTAAATAGTCTGCCCGAAGAAGAGAAGGTACGCCAATACTGTAGCTATGATCAATCATGTTGTGCTGTTTTAGAAAGCTGCAGAAGCCCATAGGGAGGAAATTCGTAAAAGACACGAAGCTCGTCGTGCTCAAAAAGCTGAAGGTGACGCCGAAGCTGAAAGTGATGACTGAATATGCTGCATTATTATTAGGAAGTGCTCGCAAACACTTCTATTTCCTACATAAATAAGTTGTTTTGCAAGATAATGAAGGTAGCAATATTAGCATTAAGAAAACAATATGTTTTGCCCGTGCCAATCTCTTCTCCATACACGCTATGTTTCTATATTAGAGTCGTGTACAATTTGGAACTCTGCCTTTGTGGGAGCAGAGTTTCAATCTTGCGTGCAGTCGTAAAGCGCATTTCAAAGACCATCGAAGGGGACGCTGGACGGGGACACACGCTAAAAAGCAAAAATACTAGTATTTCGACTTAGCATTGAAAGAAGGAAGATTGGAAGAAGGAAAGCCTTATCGAACGCTATTCGTATAAACCACGCAAATTTTCACACTTTGTGCTAGGGAGCCTATACTAGACAAATTATTGTTGAATAAGCGACATATCGAAAAATCTGTTGAGGAACCCGTCTGGAAATATCAAAAGTTCTCTTTTCTGTCGATATGGGTCTCAAACAGAGGTGCGATAGGTGGAGCCGGGCCCCCCAAAAGTGAAGGTGGTTCCAGCTACCACTGACCGGCCAAAAGTGAAGGTGGTAGTGCCGGACACTCACCTCCCAAAAACGTCGACGGGGGGGGGGGGGTAACGTCGACTGAGCCTATCCTTCCAGGTCGTTGCCGCCAGTGCGCGGAATATAAGCAAAACAAACGCAAAAAAGATCATTGAAGGCATATATTTAGGTACACGGCGGCATATTTATTTAAAATAAACGTGTTTAGTAAATGGTGTATTTGGAAGTAAAAGATAGCGGGACTGTACGGATTTTATTAAGTAAATTTTGTCATAACGTACTACAAACAAAGTAGGTCGATCCAGGGAATAACCGCCGAGAACCAGAATTTTGAATAATAAAATAACGATAAATTATGCGAAATTTCCATTTTCATAAATCTTGCGTTGAAGATGTCAGCAATTGCGACTTCATAGGTTTTGAAGGGCAAATGTTGTTCTACCAGACAGTGAAAGAATTAGGTCGATCTGAGCAGTGGCCGCCGAGAACGAGAATTTTGAAAAATTAAGCGATTTTAGGTTACTTAGTGACAGCTGACGTTTAGACTCCTATAAATCTGGAATGTGAAGGAGTGCAATGTTGCGACTTCATAGGTTTTGTAGAGCAAGAATTTCTCTATCGGAGCATATCCTAGCCGTAACGATCCAATAAGATACCGCCGAGATTCAGGCTCCTTGAAAAAACAAGTGAAAAACCGCTCTTGAAATTCAACAGCGCATAACTTCTCCAGAATTGCATGAATGTTGCGACTTCATAGGTTGGATTCTCCTCATCAAGAGCTTTCAGATGATATATAATATGTGGGGGTTTTTTGCCTCTCACAGTATATGCCCGGGGGTGGAGACTTTTCACCCCAAAGTCTCCACCTCGCCCATGTTAATGTATTGGCCGGAGACCGCCAGTGGAGACTTTGGGGTGAAAAGTCTCCACCCCCGGGCATATGCCGCGAAAGGCGCGAAACCCCTACATATTTTATATCATCTGAAAGCTCTTGATGAGGAGAATCTAACCTATGAAGTCGCAACATGATTCATGCAGTTCTGAAGAAGTTATGAGCTGTTGAACTTCAAAAAACGCTTTTTTACCTGCTTTTTCAAGACCCTGGATCTCGGCGCTATTTCAATGGATCGGTACGGCTAAAACCAAATCCGATAGAGAAATTCTTTCTCTACAAAACCTCTGAAGTCGCAACATTGCAAACCTTCACATTCCAGATTTGTAGGAGTTTAAACGTCAGCTGTTACTAAGCAACCTAAAATCGCTTAATTTTTCAAAATTCTCGTTCTCGGCGGCCACTGCTCAAATCGACTCGATTCTTTCACTATCTGGTAGAACAACACTTGGTCTTCAAAACCTATGAAGTCGCAATTGCTGACATCTTCAACTACCAGATATATGACAGTGGAAATTTCGCATGATTTTTCGCTACTTTGTCATTCGAAATACTGGTTCTCTGCGGTTACTGCCTAGATTGACCTACTACATGGGAATATGCTCTCAATACTTTCTTTTACTTTCCTTTTGCTTATTTTCCTTCTTTTGAGCTTCAGCAAAAAATTTTTTTCAAACCCAAAAGTGAAGGTGGTCACCCGGTATCAGCTCAAAAGTGAAGGTAGGCGGAGACTCGGCTCCGACTATCGCACCTCTGGTCTCAAATGAGTTCTTGTTTGCGTGTTGTCAGAACTTCGACTCAACAGCAGTGAAGCCACAATGAAACGTGAAGAGTAGATTTCCGCAACTTTTGCAGCTACGGTTTAGAAAGGAGCACAAATGTTAGAAGATTACCTAACAGATTGTGTGTGGCTAAAAAATATTTTGGTCAAGAAAGGAATGATTTGAAGTTTCCTTGGAGTAGACTCCAGTATGAGGGAAACGAGTATTCGAGAATAGTTAGGGCTAACCGTCAAATTTTTTGTTTCCGATTTTGTTGGTCCCTCATATCGATATTATTAGCTAGGCTGGCCCCAGCCCCTGGCCGCAGTGACCTATCATTATCGATTATTGTGATCAGAATAGGTTTAGTAGTAAAATACAGCAGTAAGATTGTATATTGACTTTTACACTCCTTAAACAGCATGTAGTGGAACTTGAATCTTGAAACATGAACTTCAATTTTTGAAATTCGTTGAAATTTAGAGATCACTCATCGATCAGGAAAAACCGAGCATTAAGTCACGATAGTTTTCAATTTTTGCATTGAGGCAGAGATTGTCAGTCTTCTGATCTCCAATTTCAAATTTCAAATCAAACATATTCTTGGCTATTGTGAGATTACAATAGCAAAAACCATAATTCTTGTTATTTGCGCCCAAATCTCCTATTGTTGATGAATTGCTCATATTTTTAGCTAAGGTGAGATTTGTAACAGATTTTTGTAAGACTTCAAGCAAAAAAATAACTTTCAGTCCTAACTCTGATTCTTGCCGAATCTGACCATGTTTCCAGCTATAGTGAGATTTTGATAGCAAAGATCACATTTTCTGATTTTTGAGAAGCCTAGCATACCTCAACAACTTTTTCCAACTACTGTATACCACAGTTTTTTCCAAATCAATCGATATCTGGATGACTGTTGTTAGATATCTTCGCACCTTCGGCATGCCTGTGTCAGCCGGGTGCAGGTGCACCCAACTCAAGTGGATAGAATAAATGGAGGTACAATACATGTTTTCGTAGAATCACCTCTTTTTGATGAATCAGGCAGATTTACATTTTTCCTTTACGCTGAAACTACAGTGCAATGATCACGAACCCGGTTTTCGAAATTTTAAATTTTGGAAATTACCGAAAAATAAGCAACTAATCTTGAACATTAGAATTTTGATACCTCTATAATCACATGAACGTGATTGGTTTCACTGAAATTTATAGCTATGATTTTTCATAAATCAGTATAAAACTTGGGTGTTTTTACGAGTATTGTGAGCCACACGGCTGTGAATGGAAAGTCAACATTCATACGTATTTTGCTTTTCTTAGGTTTTCAACCTGATAATTTGGCCTTTTATGATTGAACAAGCCATAAATATGATTTCTAAAATTTCAAAAGTAAATCTGAAATGTTCGCATGCAAATTTCCTATTTTCTGAAATTATACAGGTTGGATAGTTTGAAATCACGTTACTTTTTCCAATCGAATTGGCTCTGATGCACCTGTGCTTAGCTGAGCTGACACAGCAATGTCCAAAGGTGCGAGGTGGTCCAACGAATGCCTCCACATGTCGATTAGTTGGAGAAAAAAAACGATTTTCAATAGTCGCAAAGATTATTAGAATGAACTATGTTCTCAAAAAATCAGAAAATATGATTTGTGCTGTTGAATTCCCACAGCTAGAAAATATGATAAATTTCGTCAAGAATTGGAATAGGCTCTCAAAATCCAATTATTATTTTTTGGTATTGAAATCACATTAGCTATAAAATATGACGAAATTCGTCGATAATTTGATTTGGGTTTAGATTTCAATAGCAAAAATCAGAAATAGTGACTTTTGCTATTGCGATCTCACACCTGATTCCTCACCACAGGCACACTAACGCATCGAAGGGCACATCGGTCAGATTTTATAGCACAGAAAGGTCATCAAATCATCCTAGACACAAAATCATAATCGGAGCATTTCTTTGTTATAATTTACTTCAAAATCTCAAAGCAGCTTTTAAAAACATTCCTAATCCAAGAAAAAAAAATCCAGTTTAATTTGTTCCAATAACCTCGTTAAGAAAAGCAGACGCATTTAGCTACCACGACTAAGCTGATCCTCTGCCAGGCCTGAGACAACTTCTGATTTTTCGGCGGGTAATCACTCAAAAATCAGAAGACAAGCAGATTGCATATCTTTGCGATCTACTCCATTCAAGATAGAATCAAAAATGTGTCTGACTATTCATAGGTGTTATCAAATAATCGTGAATATAACCATATTGATATTATATCGCAGATATTTCAATACCATATCGCAGATATTTCAATCATATGTAGATTAAATTAGAATTTTTCAGTACTCCTAATTGATTTTTGCAGCCCCCTATTTTCCAAAAAGAATTTCGAGTAATTTTTGAATTTTAACGAATTTCAAAAATTGAAGTTCATGTTTCAAGATTCAAGTTCCACTATGTGCTGTTTAAGGAGTGTAAAAGTCAATATACAGTTTTACTGCTGTATTTTACTACTAAACCTATTCTGATCACAAAAATCGATAATGATAGGTCACTGCGGCCAGGGGCTGGGGCCAGCCTAGCTAATAACATCGATATGAGGGACCAACAAAAACGGAAATAAAAAATTTGAGATTTTT